ATCCATTTCTTTTCTTTTAAAGTCATTTTTTACATTTTTTTCATTCATTTTCAATCAAATTCATTTATTTCTATTTTTTTCTTTCAAAGTCTCTTAATGTTTCTCTCTCTCTCTCTCTCCCCACCCCATTTCTCTCTGTCTCTCTTTCTGTCTCTATCTCACGCGATGATTGCGCAAGTGAGAAAAACGTGTCTGCATCGCAAGGATATCCGGATATAGCGCCTACTTGCCGAATGCCAAATATGTTTGACGAAGTGATTTGGATAAGCCCGATTTGTCCGTGAGTGACGTAAATGGTGGACGCGTGTATTTTAGGATATACATACGTGCGTTGGAAAACAAATGATTTCTTATACGACGAAGAGTCGGAGCAGATGCAATTATCCCTTTGACATTAGCAGTTCAAGTTAGGAACAAACATACCTAGTCGGTCATTGGCATTTTTTTTTTTTTTTTTATTAGCCGATTAGTTCGCGTGCCGACACACGCGCGACTAAACTACGACTAAAACTAGAGATCAGATTAGTCGTGAGAGTCATTGCTTAATCATTAACTCCAAGCACACTTTTCATGTATATTTAAAGCAAACGTAAGAGTTGCAGTTGTTGTATAATTCTTTGCAATAACTTTGTATGATTCTTTGAATGTTTGATATCTTCATTTTAACCTCTCGATGTGCCGAGGCTGCACACACGTGTGTCCTCAAAATATATGTTGACTGAATTAGCACGAACAAACAGATTCGTTGGCGTGCACAAATCTGTCGTGTAAATGGATTATCGTCGTTATAAATAGACGCCGCGGCATCAGGTGGAGATTACTCCTATCGGACGATAACAATTGAATCTTTTGCCACGCACGGCCATGACAAAAATGTGTCGCGACAACTCACAAAATCTATTATCGGCTATCGATACTCGAGATGCGGTAATAAAATAATATAAACAAGCGTATTAATTAGAGGACGCATAATTAGTAAACTACACGGAAAAAAAGGTTTGGATGAATTAACCAAATAAAATGGATATGAAAATATGAACGATCCAGAAATTTCGATTGAAGTAACCTGAATTCTGTTTAAATCAATCAAAAGTCTTGTTAACTTAAACAGAATTCGGGTTACTTCGACTAGATATTTGGTTAATTTTCCTTTTTTTCCGTGTACAAAACGAGATGCCATTCTTATATAATCGCGATTTGTACGCGAAATAAAAAAATGTCTCGTGAATTATTTTAGATTATTAATATTATGTTTACACTGGCAAAAATATTTTAATCACTATTTTTTTTTTATTGCATTGTTTTGAGAGAGATGTCTATGATTTTATCTAATAGCCTCTTGATTATGTGGCATTTAAGTAATTCAATTTTGATATATTTTGAAAACTTTTCAATAAAATTAACATCCATAATAAAAATCTTCGGCCGCGATAACAGGATGATATAGCATTTCTTATCGTTTTTGTGATAGAGTTTGCGCCTGATTCCCATTCACATGAACTGAGACTTTGTTCCGTTGTGGTGGGAGAAATACGGATTCTAGAAAGAAAGAGTCGAGTAATTTCGTCTGATGATAGACTTAGAGCATATAATGACTTCGTTTTATTTTCCTGGAAGATTTTCACGCGGCTTTCCCTCGCGCGGCGCCGTTCGCTACGATTTGAAAGCACAAATCGCCGGTTTCGATCGAGATAAGAACCGTCTTTATTTTCAATCAGAATATCGCCGCGCTGCTCAATATAAAACGAACGCCGTGTGTCCGAGTAATGCGTGAATCTGTGCGCGCGATCTCGGCTTTGCGTGAAAAGGCGCGGATCGGCCGCGAGCGATTACACATCGCGTTACAGCTCGCACGGGAATACATATATCGACGTCACAGTGTAAGGCAATCTCTCGCCGATTATAAACGTGCATTTCCTTACGGAGAAATTTCAATTTCAAATCGGTCGCCAATGTGACCGATTACGCGGCGACGCCGCTCTTCAGCGGCCGCATCCAACAACTACTAACGATCGCGAAGAATGGCGCTTATGATGAAAGATTCATCAGCCACCGTGTATAAGTAATGTATCAGGGCGAGTCGCGTGAGATAACGTCTAACTCGTTTCGCGACATACGATCGGCGGATTCGATCTACCGCGCGATCGTCCTTGCCGCATTCTACGAGCGCGCGCCCAGAAATCCTCCCCACATTTCCCGCGACATTATTAAATTCACGAAGGACGCGCCTCGCGCGCAAATTGTGCTCTTGATATTTCACGCTCGTAACCACGGAGACCCGAAGGGATTATTTATTTGCTCGCTCGCTTGTTTATTTATTTATTCGCGGAATTTTGATGTAAGATATCGGATGCGCCAACGGCAAGTATTAATTGGATCAGACGTTATTCGATATATTAATTCCTCATCGTGTGCATGTACATGCGCGTTCACGACATAATAACAGATTATTATTTAATTATAATATTAATATCTGCTAATCTCTCTCTGTCTCTCTCTCTCTCTCTCTCTTCCTCTGCCAGTTGTGAGCGATATACCTGGTAGTCATTTGACTTACCTACGAGATATTTTTGAGGTGCGCAATCTTGGAAAATAACCGCGAGTGTTATTAGTATTTTATGACTACGAGTTATGGCCCGAGTCGGAATTTTAGTTTCACACTGCAACCTTCCTGCAAATCCCTAAGTTTCAGTTGCTGAATTTATAAAACCGGCGGAGGTTAACAAAATGTATAACTGTGCGAGCTATTGTTTCGTCTTGATGATACACTGAGAGTAATAATAGCACGGCAATTACGAATAAAGAAAGTTTATCGCTCCATTAATCCTATTTATTGCCCGTATTATATAATATTTGCTTACCCGTCACGTACTCGATTTGCAACTGAGTGATTTACATAATTAACACATTGTTAATGGAAATTAAGAATGGACATTGAATGCAGATAGAACATTAAGATAATTGAATATTCTACAATTTTGTTCTTTCAAGTTCAATAGCATGCGAAGACTTAATGTGAAATTCAATTTTCGATTCAAATATATGCTCTTGAATGTTCGTTGTGGCGTTATAAGAGAGCGGTATCTCAGAGAAAATGCTCGCGCGAGCATCTCGGACGAAGTTCTCGTTTCGGAATACTTCTGGCTAGGTGAAAGCAGTGCACTCCGAGTGAAAGTCAAATTCACCGCACCCGCACGTCTCTCGGAACTCATAAGTATTATTAATCGACAGGATGAAGAAGCTAATGGTAAGAGCCACTACGCGAGTTCCCGCGCGAAGCAATGCCGATCCGAGAGCGAAAGGATCGCATAAATGAAGTGTTGATAAAGTGTCCTTTTCGTTAGATTTCTCTCGAAATGTTAAGAAAAATTTAACTGTAAATTCATGCAAGAAATATTCGAATTATTTATCAAAGAAAGCACTCTAGGTAAATTGAGATCGCCTTATGCACTTGTAAGAATGCATACTCAATTTTTCACTCTTCAAATCTACATAGAAAAAGGACGTTCTTGTTTGGGAAATATTTTTATTTTTTACATGTTAATCTTCAAATGAGGCGTTAAACGAAAATAAGTTTTCACTTGCATCGATACATTTTATATTCAACTCAAAAAACAAATAATTAAATTCAGGACGATAATATTCTTCTAACTAAATTATATATTATTGCTAATATATGAAACAATTATTGTTTTATATGAAAAAATGATTGTTAATTTGATTAATTTTAGTAAATCTGGGACATAACACACATTTAAAAATATCGTGTTCCCAATTCATTATTTTGTGCTTCCCATTAATGAAAATTATCCTTAAATAATAAGAACACAAGTTTTTTTTCGTTAAGCCATGTAAAATATATTCTTGCAAATATCTTGCAAGTAACGCTGCATAATCTCATTTAAAGATTAACATGTAAAAAATAAAGATAAACTATATTATTTGTTTCCAAACAGAAATGTCCTTTTTCTGTGTACATAATGAAATTCAAAAATATTGATAAAAATCGAATTACTGAATTTACAGCTGAGGAACTATCTTTATATATAGCGAAAACTAGTTTGATATTTAAATGAAACCGACAAAAGGGCTTTTAAGGTTTTTAAAGGCGGTTTATTTTTATTAAAAAAGTTTTTCATTCCACATTTTTTAATTATTTACAGGAGATTTGTTATTGAAGTCAGTTAGAAATAAAACTTTTGTCTTGTATTTCGAGATGTTCACGGATTTTCAAGAAAGTAACGGAATTCTGTCATTTAAAGTTAAGAAGAAGAAGAACAGAGCTATTGTATTTACCAAAGCTGCGCACTTGTTTTCTTTATTAGAAGGTATTTCTTTGTTAGAAACAGTTTAAAAATCTTCTGAACTGGGTATAAACCGGTTTGGCCGAATCCGGGATAAATCAGGGTCCCGGACAGCAGTCGGAAAAATTCGTGATGTAGGGTGAAAACCCGAAACGGTCCCGGAAAAAACAGGACGTCCAGTCACCTTACTACAGCTAAGAAAGAAACAAACATCGGTGGTATTTCTCTTTAGATGCAAATGTACGCGTACAAAATTAAACACAATTAAACAATCTGTTTTCCTGTAGAGTTCAGAGCGCAGCTGAAATACTATCATACCCCGAGAAACGACGAAAATCTCCGATCAGGCCGATATATACGGCGCGTGGATTCGCATTCCGGAACGTGTCGCTCGCGTCGCGCTGCGATCGCCCGCGTCTACGATGCCCCTACCGTGCGGGCAGCCGTCAGCCGCATTCCACCTGTCAGAAGGTGGTCGCCTAAGCATCGCTTTGCGCGAGTCCCGAAAAGTAAAGCCGGGATCTGACAGCCAGGATTTTCGGCAGCGCGCGGAATCGGCCGGTTCGGCCGGAAATTCTCGTAATCTCAATATGGCAGTGGTTGTCTGTCGCGTGCACACACACTCACGATACACCCGTTCACCGCACGCGCGCGAATATGCACTGCTGCGGGACACATACGTGTACGTGTACTCACCGATCTAACGGCCATCGTCCATCGGCTGACCGCGCCGCATTCCGCGCTGTGGCTCGCTCGCAGTCGTGGAAGGTTGGAGTCCCGACTGGAGTCGTCGCGACCCGAAATCCGCGATCTCGAGAATCCAAGCCGCTGCTGCGAATTCGCGATCCTCGTCGCCCGAGCTCCTTCGACGCGACCTGCTCCTGCCGTCGCGCGTGTCGATGCTCGTTGCTCGCACTTTGACGGTGTTTCTCGCGTTTTCACAACTGCAACATCGAGCGCAAATCGCGTTGGCCGTTACACTGAGGCGCGCGCGCGCGCACCGTACGATCGGTATGAAGTTGCAGTCGAATCGAGAAATTCCGGAACGCAACCTCGCGACGTGAAAGACGAGACGCAAACCGATCGCCCGAGCGACGCCACCGTAACGCAACTGGTCGCCGGTTGGTAGGGGAACTGAGGGGAACTGAACCGACTTGAGACGGGGTATTGATAGGCTATGTACGCGGCGCGGGGCAAGGGGGGAAGCCGCGCGATCAAGGTGGGGTAGGGCGTGGGACGGTTGGAAAAGGGAGAAGAGAAGGGCCTCTTCTCTCTCGGCTGTAATGCAAAGGAGAGAGAGGGCGCAGGTGTCTGTATACACCGGCCTTTCCAGGCCCTTTTACGTTTCTAAAATAAATCTATCGCCGGTATTCATAGTATAGTCAGAATGATATATTTAAGACCGTTCTAAGTTCACTTTCAAATACTCCATACCCAATGAAATGATTCGTACAGCATCTGAAGATGAACTTAGAATGGTTTTAAATATAAAACTTGATTATGAATACCACCCTATGATAGAATCTTCTACACACAGAAAAATATCATTTCACTGCTAAGGAATGCGATTGCTCTATTTATTTGCTTCCTTTTAAGTAACGGTTCAATAAACTTTAACTTTAACAAAAATATTTTCCTGATAACAGTCTAACGATATACTTATCGCAAATCTTAAAAAAATATTTATCACGTTATCATGTATATAAAAAAGAATTTGTTCTATTTCTCTACAAGAATCTCAGATAGCACAGAGAATTAAAAAAGAATTCAGTCGTATCCCAGGTGACGTCATAGACGTCTTAATGACGTCTTTAGACGTCACTTTGCTACCTGAGATGTCACAATTCTGAGTTTATATTCAGAGGCAAAAAAAATTCTTAAGAATTCAGTTCAGTGAAAAGAATTTTTTTTATATCTAAAAATGAACTCAGAATTGGTGACATATGACCGAATTCTTTTTGAATTCTCTGTATTATATCTGGGATGTCATAAAATATATATTGAATGTAGCAAGAGAACTCCCCGAATTTTTCTTTCACAGGTTTCAAAATGTTAGACACCTTCAAGCAAAAAGAACATACTTTACTTATGTCTGGTAAAATATATGTTTCGAACAAATATTTCTGGTTTCCAATAATTTGTCTTAAACGGTCTTCACATAACTGTTATTATATTCAATTTATAATATTTGAAATTGATTTTGGTTTAACGCGATTTGTTGGATCAATATTGAAACATTCGGCATATTTTATAGCGCCATGTGATCAAAGAATTAAACTTTTAGGATACTGTTAACTTAATTTTACGTTGGCGGATCGAGGAAAAACTGTTCGGTCGAACATATCATGTAATTACGGTAAATCTCGTCGAATCAGGAAAATTCTGCCTTACGTAAACAGTGATAATCTATTCATGACCGACTGACGTTTGATAATAGCATAACATTTACTCGAACAAAGCTGTGGAGAGAAGCGAGAACGATACCTTTTAATGGTCAGCTGAAGGTTCTGCCAGGAAAATGCATCTGGGCTAAGTACTTGCGCGCAGCGCAATTCCCTTCATTTGTGTTTACAATGCGTGACTAACGTTAATCTTTTTCGTTCGTGGCGCGGGCGCTGCAATGTCGCACAGCAGGTGTAATTAAGAAATTCCAAGAAACAACTAGGTAGGAGAGCATTAATAGTGGCGTCGCCGTATAATGGCCATTGTGCATTTCTGCAAGACATAACGGAACTTTACCAAACAACACCTTGACTCAAAAGATGCCCGAGGTACGGTCAAATAAATAATTTGGCATCTTACTTTATATATTTTTATATTCGAGTAACCTGTGCATAGCAGTTTCAAATGTATCAAATGCAGAACAAGCAGGACACAGGAGGACTGTATCTATAATAAGTGCGCAAAACACGTTTTAGATAGACATACTTTAGAAATTACGGTATTAAAATTATGGCAATATTACAGCAATATTTCAATGCCATGAAAGTTGCTGCTTATTTTGCTGGAAAAAGAACGCAATTAATCTGAAATTATTGTAGTAATAAGAAGTAAATACCTTGATTAAACATTGTGCTGTTGCAAATTATACTGTTTTCTATTGCTGAACTAATATACACTTTCGAAATTTAAAAAGAGATAGATATACAGATGAAACAAAAACAAGAGAGAACTAGTGCAGCCAGTTCAGTAATAGAAAACAGACCCTATATATGAAATGTTTACTTGCTATATTTAGCATTTCTGTCTATCTGGAATGTGATGCTTAACGTGCCATTCAATTCTCTATTCATCCAACGTCTGATCCAACGAAATGAACTCACTTCAATTTTGCACATTTAGGCGTTGCTTAAGCACATGTTGCAATCGAACGACTTCGGCACTATGTCACTTGATTCAGTGGCTGACCTACATGCAGAAATTCGCTGAGCGTATATGCGAATAGTTCTTTATTAAACAGATAAATCGTGATAGAAGACTAAGTGCACGAATGTAAAGAGACTTTTGAGAGAAAGGAAGCTGCATACTTATTCATTTTTAGCTCGTTTCTTCGTTAGTCGAGTCAAACACGCGCCTCTAGTGACGTCTTATTTTCGGCATGTTGTAAATGAGGTTGATGTATTGCCATCTATCGGCCGTTCCTCATATTTTGCGAACTATCGTGGATAGAGTAGAGATTTCCGGTTGCATCATCCCGGATATGCAGCCACCTATATATCTTTAGTGTACCTAACCTGATCTGACCAGTCTAACTACATAGTCCGGCTATATCACATGTTAGCTGTTCGAGATCGCTGTGACGACGAGTTGAGATACTTTGATTTCTTTGTTCGAATAGTTTTGAGTAAATTAAGAGATTTTGTAGTAAAGTTAAAAAATATTAACTGAGTATCATATATCTTTTGAAGAAAGACAAATACACGTTAAAAAAGAAAGAAAAAACATTCCGTACAAATACCGGCAACCACGTGTTTCACAAAAGAACATTAACAAATTTTTTCTTATAAAATGGCATCAATAAGCACACTATTAAATTCATGCGATCGAAATTCGAAAGAGTTCGAATTATTAGTACATGATTTAATAGTTAACAACAGCGACGTGCCATTTGATAATCGAGAGGTAAAAAATATCTTTTCATTTTGTACAAAAAATTCATACGATGCAAATGATTAAAAAGCACTTTGATTAAGTTAAACAATATAATGGCGAAAGATGATCATTTTATTTACGTGAAAATTTCACGTGCTGCTTATAATATACGTTATTATAATTTTTTTTTATTTTTACCTTTTTGGCTTTGTCCTATGATAACATTTTTATTGAGAAATTAAATCTCAATCTATATATATATATATATATATATATATATATATATATAT